TGGGCAGTTTTATTCATAAATGTGCAGCCCCAAATGGGCAGATATTGCAAACAATTTACAACGCTGGCAAAAAGTTGAAAACATACCTGACTTGGTAGCCAGAGTTTTTTGTTTGTTTGTTTGTTTGTTTGTTTTCAGAGATGGGGTCTCGCTATGTTGCCCAGGCTGGATGGAGTGCAGTGGCTATTCACAGGCGCAATCCCACTACTGATCAGCACGGGAGCTTTGACCTGCCCCGTCTCTGACCTGGGCCGGTTCACCCCTCCTTAGGCAACCTGGTGGCCCCCCGCTCCCGGGAGGTCACCATATTGATGCTGAACTTAGTGCGGACACCCGATCGGCATAGCGCACTACAGCCCAGAACTCCTGGGCTCAAGCGATCCTCCAGCCTCAGCTTCCCGAGTATCTGGGACTATAGGCGCGCACCACCGCGCCCGGCAGAGTTTTTAATATTAAGCTGAATGCTCTTTTATCTGTAAATTCCATTTATTTGGCAAAGTAATAGCTAAAATTCATGTCATTGAATTTCAGAAACACGGACTGCATCATGCTCACATATTATTGATATTAGATAGTGAGTCAAATTACATTCCTCTAATTAATTCCCTTTCAGTGTGCATGAATTTTGTGCACCAGGCCACTAGTGAGCATTATAAATGATCCTATTCCCAATTTGGATGAGATTGGTTGATTTTAGTGCTTGGTAGATTTGTATTAAAACTTAAAAATGTGAGCTCATGGATGTAGAGAACAAATTGGTGTTTGCCTGAGGAAGGGTTGGGGTGAATGAAATGGGAGAAGAATCATAAAGTATAGATTTCTAATTATAAAGTGAATGTCACGGGAATATAATGTACAGTATGGTGACTATAGTTAATAATATTATGTATTGCATATTTGAAAGTAGCTAGGAGAGTGGATCTTGAATTCTTAACCACAAGAAAATAATTTTGTCACTGCATGGTGATGGATGTTAACTGAACTTATTGTGGTGATAATTTTACAATACATACAGATATCAAGTCATTATGTTGTACACCTGAAAGTAATATAATGTTATGTCAGTTACACCTCAATTTTTTTCTTTTTCAGTTGGAGTCATTCGATGTCCAGTTTGTAGCCAAGAATGTGCAGAGCGACACATCATAGATAATTTTTTTGTGAAGGATACTACTGAGGTTCCCAGTAGTACAGTAGAAAAATCTAATCAGGTAAGTGTATTAAGTCTTGAATCTTGTGCCTCCTCTTTTTTTATTTTTAAATATATTTTTATTGATTCAGAGAGGGAGAGGGAGAGAGGGATAGAAACATTAGTGATGAAAGAGAATCATTCATTGGCTGCCTCCTGCACAGCCTCTACTGGGGAGTGTGCCCGCAACCTAGGCATGTGCCCTGATGGGGAATCGAACCATGACTTCCTGGTTTATAAGTTGATACTCAACCACTGAGCTACACCAGTCAGGCCTTTGCCTCCTCTTAATGAGGCAGCCAGAAATGTTGGAGGACTTGAAAATAAAAGGTGTCAAATATTAGAGCATTATATTTATGAAATGATGTAATATTTTAAAGGTATATATGTATATGAAGAATAATGACTAAATTCATCTGAAGGAATAAAATAGTGCCAATGTAGAAGCTCTGATGACACTTCTATCTTACCTGTCCTGGCAGAGAAAACCATTATTCTATATTTGACACTATTTCATTTCTTTGAAATTTTACTCTGTATTGACAATTAGAATTTTTATTTTAAGCCCTCCCTTTAAAATTCTTTTCTGTTTTAATTATAAGCTCTATATTGATATGAAAATTTTCATGTCTTTGATCCAGTACAGTTTCTGCAATTTAAGAAAGTCTTCTTTTCTACATGGTATTTCTTTGAAAGCCTCATTTGGTAGCATTGCCCAAGGTATTACATTTAGAGGTCCAATGGTGTTTTTCTTTTTTCCTTACTTCCATAAACCCACATGTAGAAGATTTCTGTTGGCCTCTTATATCTAAATGTCAGGTTCCTAGTGGATGTACTCCAGCGGAGGTGAGCTATAATTCTGCAGTATGTGCTAAATTTAAATGTAGTGTATTAGTCTGTTTTTGGATCATGAATCATTGATAGTTTCTCTAGGCCAGTGGTCGACAAACTCATTAGTCAACAGAGCCAAATATCAACAGTACAACCATTGAAATTTCTTTTGAGAGCCAAATTTTTAAACTTAAACTATATAGGTTGGTACATTGTTATTTACTTAATTAGGGTACTCCTAAGGCTTGGAAGAGCCACACTCAAAGGGCCAAAGAGCCACGTGTGGTTCCCGAGCCGCAGTTTGCTGACCACGGCTCTAGGCACTTTCTTCAATTTGGAACAGAAGATCTCTGAAGGAACTGAATCTGAGTATAAAAAAAATGATTGTTAACCTAAAATGTAAAAATCTAAAAAGTAATATTTTGGACTCTTCAGTAATCACACAGCTAAAGTTTCTGTACTTTCATTTTCAGTGTTTTTTCCATTGGGAGCTATAGGACTTAGGGTTCACTTTAAATGAATATGACCACTACTAACTAAAATATCTCTTGTTTAAAAAATATCCACAACTCTTCCTAATGTGAACTTTCATCAAGGTCAAAACAGGGTTGGGTGCAGAGAATAAACTTTTCTAATTGTTGTGAAATCAGCTTTAAGGAATGGAATAATCATTATGTGAGCTACAATGTAAAATAGCCCCATTGAATGTTCCCTTCTGAATACTACTGACTTTGTTTCTGTTGTCTAGAGTGCCCTATCATTTTGCTTTATATATGATAATATTTTCAGATGTATTTTGTTAGTCATATCACACATCAATTACAGTTTAGGTGAACTCTAGTAGTACATGTGAATGATCAAACCAGAAGATTAAAAAACAAAGCAGCGTAAATAATCAACAGGGTGGAGAAATGATAAGACATGAAATTATAATAGGTGAGAATGGAAGAAATTCAAATACAAAGGACAATTTTAAGAGGCTGTTTTATGTCTCTTTATAATCAATTGGTTTTCAGTGTTTATTTACTCTGCTTCTATTACAGAAACATAAAATAAGTTATAATCAATTAAACTAGAGATAGAGTCCAATAGACATCTTCAATGTTAAGTGGAGGTGGGAAGAGTATTAAGTTTGGTTCAAAGAATAAGATGCTTGTAGGGATATTTTGGGAACAGAGACTTAGGTGATAATGTAGGGTGAGTTGGGGTTAGGAAGCAGTAGGTGAGAGGTAGAGCTGAACTAGCATGGTGGTGATAAGGGAAGGAAGGGGTAAGTTATAGTCCACTCAGGACTTGATAATACCTGATTGCATGTGGAAGATGAGAGAGGCCCCACTGCCAAGATGGTGGTTCCTTTCCACAGATAAAGAGGGCAGGGAAGTAGGCAGAGGTGAAGAGAATTGGTTTTGAATGTGATAAACTTGTCTATAAGATAGAAATGTCTTCTGTGGTCACACTGGAGCTCTGAAGAGTTTAAGCTGGACATAAAGTTTGAAAAACTTTTGTGATGGATAATTTCAACCATTCCCCAAAATTGAGTTTAGCACCATGTACCCATTAACTCAATAGTCCACAACCCTTGTTTTATGTAAAATAACCCTGACACCCCCCCCCAACACTAGATTATGTTGATGTTTATTTCTGGTTTTATATAATCTAATCCATAAATATTTCAGTATTTATTACTATAGAAAAAATAAATTTTTCTTTAAATATAATCACCATATTAATTTATGTGTAAAATGTATAGTAATTCCTTAATATTATCAAACGTTCAGACACTGATCAAATATCTTTATTTGTTGCAGTTTTTAAACAGTGGCTTGTTTATATAAGAATCCAATAAGGCCTACACAATGCATTTGGTTGATTTATCTCAAAAATATCTTTAATCTCAAATTACCCCTTTGCCTCACTGGCTTTCTTTATCCTCTCTTCTAACATATTTGTTGGATAAACTGGGTTTAGTTCAGTAGAGTTAGCCCTATTCTGAATTTTGCTGACCATTTCCATAAAGTCATTTAATGTGCTTTTCTCTCTTTTGTATTTTGTATAAACTAGAAATAAAAATGTAGAGGCTGGGTTAGATTCAGGTCCCATTGGGTGGAGGGGTTAGGGGGTGTGTAAATACTTTCATATGTCCATTCGTATTTCAATTGGGAAGCATATGATGTTTGGTTGTCTTTCTTTTTTCTGATGTTTATGTCCATTAATGATCACTGCCAAATGCATATTTCATTAGGGCTTTGTGAAATGATTACATTTTCATTCTATCGTTCCCCTTTATCTTAACACTAGAATGAAAAGAGTTTTCTTTCTCTATTCTTTGGTTAAGCAGGGAAGGTAGGTTAAACATTGATTCTTTCCCTTGCTGCTAATTTAATTTTTAGAGTAGTGACTTAGTTTCTTAGCATTTCTCAGAGGTGACTCCTGAGGGTAGGTAGGTGTTCGTGTTTATCATTATAAAGTCATGGATTATTAACATAAAATGTGTTGTAGTTATTCTTATTGGTGCTCAAATTGTGCCATTAGGCAATAGGAGCCTCACATTGATTCCTGAGTCGTCCTGACAAAATCACCATAGTCATTGCTGTTTCTCTTGCTTTCTCTTTTGACAAGATACTGGTCATTTTCTGTTCTAGACCTGGAACCAGCCATTTCTTCTAGGATCCTTGGTTTCTTTTAATCAGGAAAGGTATTTGGAGACCACAATATGGGTGCTAGGATGCTCAACACCATTGGGTTGATCATTTTACTATGTCTTTGAGGAGAATGATTTAATATACTTTTTACTTTAAAAAAAAGAGAAAATACTTTAGAAGTGTGTATATATAAGTCTAATTTATAATTACAGGGTTTTACCTTTTTTTCTTTTAATCCTCACCTGAGAATATGTTCTCATTGATCTTTACGGAGAGAAGAAGGGAGAGTGGGAAACATCAATTAGTTGACTCCCATATGCACCCCAGCCTCGGATCAAACCCACAACTTAGATATGTACCCTGACCAGGAATTGAACCTGAAACCTTTTGGTGTACAGGAAACTGCACCAACCAACTAAGCCACCCAGCCAGGGTGGGTTTTACTTTTTTTTATTTTATACTAGAGGCCCAGTGCACAAATTTTGTGCATGGGTGGGATCCCTAGGCCTGGCTGGCAATCAGGGCCAATTGGGGCCGGGCCGATCAGGGCCTGAAGGCCCCGGCACGGTCAGGAGAGGAGGCCATGGTCACTGGGCACAGAAGGGACAGACGCCAGATGCTGATGCCACCATCATCGGTGCCCTGCCATCCCCCCTCCTCCTCCCCTCACCACTGTGCCACCACTGTGGTGGGTGGGCAGTGGGCTGATCAGGGCCTGCTGGCCGGGGGCAGGGATGGGGCACGGGAGGTTGGCCATTGGCCCCAAGGTGGGAGCCAGCCTTTTTGGCTCCCCTGGGAAAGGGGCCACGTCTGCTGCCACCCACCCCCAGTTCAGGGCCCAGCCCCGATTTGGGCAATTGGGGCCTGCTGGCCGGGGGGAGGGACCGCGGGAGGTTGGCTGGCCAGGGGAGGTTGGTGATGGGAGTGCACTGACACCAGGGGGCAGCTCCAGCCTTGAGTGTCTGGTCCCTGGTGGCCAGTATGTGTCATAGCGACCAGTCGTTCTGGGTGTTTGGTCGTGTAGATCGCTTAGTTTTTATATATATAGATTTATTTCACTTCTACAGTACTAGAAACATTGGTCCTTAATTACATTGACATAGTTATTTTTCCCAAATACAGAAAAATATTAATATATATAGTGATGTGTTCATATATATTAAAATATCAATGTAATACATAAAATATCTGTATAAGTAAATATTTAAATTATGTATTATAGGTTATATGATAGTTTTGGTACAATCAGAAATCATTTTAATTCATTTTTAATGTAATTTTTTTAGTTCTTTTTAAACTAAAAAAATTTTACATTGTAGTTGACATACTAGTTTCAGGTGTGCACCATAGTGACATTTATGTAACAAAGTGATTATTTTATTAAGTCTCTAACCCATCTGACACCGTACATAATTATTAAAATACTAGAGGCCCGGTGCACAAAAATTTGTGCACTCGGGGGGTAGGGGGGTCCCTCAGCACGGCCTGTGCTCTCTCGCAGTCTGTGACCCCTCGGGAGATAATGACCTGCTGGCTTAGGCCTGCTCCC